GGGTCAGTGTGTATTTGCAAGTTCTGTAGCCATTCATGGTATAACCCAAGACAGTCCAGACACCAGGGGAAAAATACACATTTGTATGAGTCAGATTGAGAAAATGTTGTGCTGATTCCTGTATTTTCACACTTAAGAGGATAGGGAATCTGCATTGGGAAGCTGCCATTCATGTTGCAGAAATGTTCAGGAGAGACTATATTCACAGGAGTTTTTCTGTTTTCATGGAATGTGGAAGAAGATGACAAACCAACAGACAACCAAACTATATCGTTGCCTTGCCAGGCTGTGTGCTTCATCTAGCATACAAAGAGAACATTAATCCTCACCCTCTTCACCTCCAATGGTCCAAGATTGTCCATTCCTAGGTGCCAGTGCTGTTGCTCTTTTTATCCACAATCACAAAATTTGTTCATCCCATTCTAGTAGTTAAGTTTGCCTTTTTTTGTGGTCAATTCCTAGTCATACTCAAACCTTTTGTCTAGAACAATAAATAGAGGAAAAAGGCATTTTATGACTTTTATATATACCCATTTTATTTATCATCTGGGCCCTTGTGGACCATTGTACAATAATTCATAGAGCAGAACACTCAAATTAATGATAGTTAACCTCATAATATATGACCATGTTTATCCAACAAAATAATCCAGGTGGCTGAACCAGAATTCAGTTTTAACACCATTCTGACCATGTTGCTACCAGGAGAGTATACCTACCAAGCTGTTCTAAGGTTGCTGTTAGGAGAAAAAAAGAAGCATCATGCCTTCCACTTCTAGAAAGTTAGAGAAGGTGTACTTTTTTCCATTCATCTTGTTACATACAGCTAATGATTCTGGATATTACAGATGTTCTTTGACTTATAATGGGACTGCATTATAAGTTGAAAATACTGTAAGTAAAAAGTACATTTAATATATGCAGTATGCTGAACAACATAACTTAGCCTAGCCTATCTTAGATGTGCTCAGAACACTTACATTAGCCTATGGTTGGGCAAAACCATCCCTAACAAAGCCTATTCTATAATGAAGTGTTGAATATCTTACGTAATTTATTGAATATTGTACCAAAAGGGAAAAACAGAATAGTTGGATATGTACATAAAGTCCAGCTTTGACTGATTGTGTGCTGCTTTCATACCAGTGAAAAAGTATAATTCAAAGCATTATAATCTCTACATAAAATTAAAAAATTAAAAGATTCTAAAAAGTGAGGAGAAAAAGCCCAACTGGTTAAGAAATTTAAGACCTGAGCAATGCTAAAGCAGTGAGTTCCATGAGTTTCCTTTTGCCTCATACAATCAGGAGTAGCCACCGACCTGGAAATGTTAGTGCATATGTACAAAAAAGCCCAAAGACCAGCCTTTTACTTTCTTTAGCCAAAAGATCAGGAAAATAACAGACTGTCAAGACACAAAACTAAGACCACAACCAGTTTCCTCCAGCCAAATACCACAGAAAGATTTACAGCTATCAAGCACATATTTAGTCAATAAAAAAGGAATTGCAACCTGGTAGGAGAATTTGTGTTATTTTTAACTTACTTTTGCTCCATCTTGTCATCACTGGCTTTAAGACAGTCTTTAAATTACATCCTCCATTCCAAGTGTGGGTTCCTGGTGCTGGAAGAAGCAGAGTGGACCTTGATATATCAAAGTAGTGCTTGATTACTTTGACCTCTCAGGTGGCTCATTGAAGGGCTAATTCAAAGGGCTAGACTGTGTTTCAAACAACTCAAAATCTCCCCAGGATGGAGAATTGGCAACAGAGAAAAGTTTTTTTCTAAAAAACAATTTGCTAAAGGGACTTAACAGCAGGTAGGAGAAAGAATCTACAAATGTGAAGACAAGCCAAATAAAATTATTCAGTCTAAGAAGCAGAAGGAAAAAAGAATGAAAAAATATATACACAAGAGCTCAGATGACCTGTGGGACAATAAGCATAACAGAATTCCCAGAACGGGAGGAGAGGCAGAAAGATTCAGGAAAAATATTTGTGACATGATGACCCTAAACTCCTCAAATTTGACAGAAGACATGGATCTACACATCCAAGAAGTTCAACAAGAACTAAGTAGAATAAAGGCAAAAAAATTCACAGTGAGATGCTTTATGATCAAACTGTTTAAAGAAAAAGGCAAATTGAGAACTTGAAAGCTTCAAGAGAGAAGCAACTAGCCACATGCAAGAGATCCTTAATAAGATTAGCAGTCAATTGCTCATCAGAAACCATGGAAACCAGAAGGCAGTAGGATGGCATAAAGTGTTTAAAGAAAAAAGTTGTCAACCACCAATTTATATCTAGTAAAACTGTTGTTCTAAAACAAAGGAGAAATTAAGATAGCCCCAGATAAACAAAAACTGAGAGTATTCATCACTTGCAGACCTGCTCTACGAGAAAATCTAAAGGGAATCTTTCAGACAGAAAAGAAATGACGCTAGACACTTGGAGCCATACAAAATAACGAACAATGATTAAGGTAGTTACATAGATAAGAATAATGCCAATATTTTTGTAGTTTTTGTTTGTAACTCCCATTTTCCCCTAAAATTATTTAGCAAACTAATAGGTAAATAATAATTATAGATACATATTAATAGGAACACAATGGGTAAAGATGCTTGTGTTTTTGCATGTGTATAAAAATCTTCTTTGTTGTTTTTCATAGTACAACTTACGTATTTCAAATGGACACCAAATTAGTAGCATTTGCAGTAGTATCTTAAAATAAATTGCCTTTGAATAAGATCTTGCTTTCAATACTTTGAGGTCCACAAGACATTTCTGGAAAATTTCGTGCTGTGGAAAATGAAGACCACTTAATCCAGTGGAGAAGGGGACTGTGATTTCTCTTTGATTGATTGCCACAACACTGTCCTTAAGGCATACTAAGGAGAGTTTTATATGTTATCTAGACATTATTAGGCACAGAAGCTTTTGCAGTACAACTTTGATGTTGTATAAATTCTGTCATTTTGCTGGCACTGAAATCACTCTTGAGTACAACATTAGACTATTGACCCATACTATTTTTGTTACAAATATTCAAAGGTGATTTCTTTCTATAAGGACTGTGCTTCAACTCCATATTCAATTTTAAAAGTTATATTTGTTGGCCAGGCATGGTGGCTCACGCCTGTAATCCCAGCACTTTCGGAAGCCGAGGTGGGCGGATCTCGAGGTCAGGAGATCGAGACCATCCTGGCTAACACAGTGAAACCCCGTCTCTACTAAAAAATACAAAAAAATTAGCCAGGCATGGTGGTGGGCACCTGTAGTCCCAGCTACTTGGGAGGCTGAGGCAGGAGAATGGCGTGAATCCGGGAGGCGGAGCTTGCAGTGAGCCGAGATCAGCCACTGCACTCTGGCCTGGGCCACAGTGTGAGACTCCTCCTCAAAAAAAAAAAAAAGTTATATTTGTTTTTAAAATTAATTTTCCAAGACTTTGGTGGCTGCCATCTTGGGTTGCTCCTTCTTTGGTTTCTACACTTACTGAGAAATGGCTTTTTTGATTTCTGCCTCTTGCAATGTACTCTTAGAGAAAGGGATTTCGATATTGGTATATTCTCTTTCATTCTATTTCCTATGAAGTTGTTAGTGGGAATAGAAAAGGCCCGTCCAAGCCATCATTGATGGATACTGATCACATGGCCCTTGAGTAGAAAAGAGCCTGCATCCTTCATGACCTCCAGCCACCAACTTCTGCAAGGAAACAAAGCATGTTACGAACAAGAGGAAGAACAGTAGTTGTTTGTGCTTCTTTCTCTGTAGACACAATTAAGTTTCTTGCATAGATAACCCTTCATAGTTCTGATTTTCTGTTTAGGTTGAGATGGGAAGGCAGAAAGAGACACCAAATTCATAACTTTTGGAAATTAATTTGAAGATACGAGCTTTTTACAAGAACAGCCATGAGAGAAACTAGAAAAATAAACGGTCACACAAGATGCCATTGAAAGTCTATGTACTACTTCCTAAACATACTGCACGTGCTCACTTCCCAAGGGTAAGACGGTACTGCACTTGCAGGCAGCCCACCCTAAGGGAAGAATCATGGGAAAGGAGGAAGCCTATAAAGTCCTAGGGTCAAGGTTAAACACCGCATTTTACTTCAGTAAAATGCTTGGCTCTCTTCCAAGTGTACCTTCCTTTCTTTCCTATTCTAAAGCCTTTTAAAATAAACTTCCACCCTTGCTCTGAAAAAAAAAAAAAAAAAGAAAAGAGAGAAAGGCTATGTTCTGGCAGGTTTATCTCTATTACACCAACCCGTGTAAGTACTGTTTTGACATGCATGTGTCATTGGTGCAAAATGCAATGGCTATTTCCAAGCCCCTCTATTCCTGGGTCTTGTTAAAAAAATGTTGCTAAGGCTGTGAGCTAGAACCATATTTGTTCAGCTAGATTTTAGGTCATTCTGTTTTGAAAGAATTATTTTGAGTTAGAAGAAACTTCTCTAAAAATTGGAGATAACAGAATGGTATAGGGATGTGTGGCCTGACATGGAGAAGAGCTATGCAATGAGAAATGCTTCTTGAATTGCAAGAATCTCACCCAAATTTTTATAATAGAATACTTCATGACTGTTATTTCAGTGTAGGAAAGTGGCTATTAGAAACAACTGCTCTTATTCATACAACAATTGACATTTGATATTATACACATACAAACATAAACATCCCCACAGACATTAACTTGGAGCATTTACATTTGTTAAATTAAAAATTATCAAATTTTTAATTTAACAAATGTGTCAGATTTTTAAAATGACTTGTTCGCATAATAAGGCTCTACATTTTGAGTACATGTTTGATCACTGTCATGATTCCACAAGATGGCAGTGTGTTCTTAGGGACCTTGAGGAACGCTCTCAGGTGCTGGGGTGTGTGTGTGTGTGTGTGTGTGTGTGTGTGTGAGAGAGAGAGAGAGAGAGAGATAGGAGGAGGAGGAGGAGGAGGAGGAAGGATGAGGGGAGGGGCTTAGTGGTGAATTAGGGGTGTTAAAAAGAGCATCATTTTTTCTAGCTGGTAAACAGATTCTTTTTTATGATTTTTAAGGTAGAAAAAGTAGAAATATCCATTCTAGGTTCATTTTTCTAAGGGTTTAAAATTTGAATCCTCAGTGAACCAGGGCAGAGAAGAATGATGAAATCCTTGAGAGTTTTACTAGTGATCCTGTGGCTTCAGTTGAGCTGTGAGTTTGGGGCATCCCTATATAGGAAAATAATGTATAGTATCTGGAGTTATTGTCTATTATAGGTCTATAGGTAGAAGCATGAATTTTTTTTTCTAACTAAGGGAGAGTGGGGGCACCAGTGAAAAGAGGATTTAAATTCTGGGGAGTAAGCATCTATTACCCAGCCAGTCTTCTCTGTCTGACCACTGCATTTTTTCACAGGGGTTTGGAGCCAACAGAAGGTGGAGCAGAATTCTGGACCCCTCAGTGTTCCAGAGGGAGCCATTGCCTCTCTCAACTGCACTTATAGTGACCGTGGTTCTCAGTCCTTCTTCTGGTACAGACAATATTCTGGGCAAAGCCCTGAGTTGCTGATGTCCACATACTCAAGTGGTGACAAAGAAGATGGAAGATTTACAGCACAGCTCAATAGAGCCAGCCAGTATGTTTCTCTGCTCATCAGAGACTCCCAGCTCAGTGATTCAGCCACCTACCTCTGTGCCGTGAACACACAGTGCTCTCTAGACACTGGCAGTCTGTACCCAAACCTGCTATGCCCCAGGAATACCTGATGTAGAGCTTAGACTGCAGGGTAGTGAAGTTCTCTTTGCTCTCTAGGTTCAAGTGGAAATGATAAGAACTAGTATGGAGGATTAATTAATTAGGGAAGTATTTTCATAATTCTGAAAATAATTGAAACCCTGAAAAAAATAAAAACAAAAATCTTGGTCTGGTTGAAATATTTTTTAGTCCTGTTTTTCCACTCTAGTTTTAAATATTTTTTTAATTGAGGTCTGATTGATAAACAAAAAGGTACGCATATTTACTTTACACATACAGCACAATCTATGCCATAACATACCCATAATTTCTAAAAGTTTACTTCCTCCCTCCTTTTTTAAAAATTAAGGTATGATTGCTATACAAAAAGGCACACGTATTTAATGTATATATGCTGGTGCTCAGTCTAGTGTTATGCCACTTCTTTATGAGATTGGTTTTATGGTTTTTAAATTATATAACCAGAAAATATTTTCACACAATGACAGATATTCTCTCATAGTTCCCAGGACACCTTCCTCTTTCCTTCTTTAGTTACTCAAAGTGTTTGACAGTTATTGATTTGGAAATGCAACAGCAAAACAGAAATGCAAAGCAGAGAAAAAGTCATAAATGAATGACTTCAAAAATTCTATCAGTCAAAAATTCTTTTTTTTTTTTTTTTTTTTGGGACGGGGTCTTGCTTTTTTTCCCGGGCTGGAGTGCAGTGGCGCCATCTCGGCTCACTGCAAGCTCCGCCTTCCAGGTTCACGCCATTCTTCTGCCCCAGCCTCCTGAGTAGCTGAGACTACAGGCGCCCGCCACCACACCCAGCTAATGTTTTGCATTTTTTTTTTAGTAGAGACGGGATTTCACTGTGTTAGCCAGGATGGTCTCGATCTCCTGACCTCGTGATACCCCTGCCTCAGCCTCCTAAAGTGCTGGGATTGCAGGTGTGAACCACCACGCCCAACCAAAAATTTTTTTAGTTATAGAACCTTCATCTCCAGCCTCAGCCACAGCACCACTCCTGATTTATGTAAGGGTATATTTAGTGGATAGACGGAAAAACTAGATTCAGAGGGTAGGACCTGGTTAAAACTAGAAGTCTAGACAGTTGCAGTGAGTAAATATTAGAGAGGGTCTATCTTGCCATTTTGGGGTAAAGTCTGAACTGAACTTAAAACTCTTGGCTTGAGCCTTGTAAAAGAATATACTTATACCTATGTACTTAAGTGTGGCTTGGAGATGATAGGGAGCATTAACCCTAGCCATAGCATGCCGTATCCCCAGGCAGGGCATGGGAGCATGGAACAATCTAAAATTTATTGAGAAGGATCTCTGAGTAAGTATCTAAAAGAGGTCCAGACACTAAGGAGCTTTAGTATGATGAGCAAAGACCTGTGTGAATCAATTACCAAAGACTATATGGTATCAAGCATGTTTCAGCAAATTTTTGTCAGGAGAGTTGGAAATGCTGAACAACGTATAAATGCCTCCCTCCTCTGACTACCTGGCATTGTAAATTTGTCCTGCAATGTATGCCAAGTCCAGGAAAAATATTTACTTCCTAATGAAAATAATGCCGTTTAATATTTAGTACATTGAGTTACAGGAAAAAGCTTGAAAAGTCACATTGATTGTTAAACGAATTTGTAGACTGTTAGTCATGACATTATTTAGGTAGTACAGTGGAAAAATTTTGGAAATGAAGAATCAAGATTTCTGTTCAGTTAGTTCACGTAGTTACTGATGAAAGATGCAAGCCAATCAACATTTGCTTCAAATTGTTAATTTGCAGAATTGAAGACTTAAGAAATTTTTCCAAGTCATGTAAGATTTGTAAAGCAATGAGGATGATCAGAAAGTTGTACTGAAATCAAAATACTTAGATTTTAGTGTCACTTTTATCATATGCCTTCAGGCACCCTGGCACTCTGGAAAGAACCTGGGCTGCCATGCTCGTTTGAATATCAATTATGTTCCTAACAGGCCATTTGTATTAAGCTGCACTGTTATATATATTTCAGGATTGAACTCAGGATTAAATGAGATGAAATATTGTCTTCGGATAAGTTCATTAGAAGCAGAGCCTGAATTGGAAATTGTTTATCCATAATTGATTGAGCAACCAGGTTGAGATGGGAAAAGGCTAAGCATAAACGTGCCAGCTAGTGGAGTCTTTATCCAGCCTGACCTCATGGGAGCTCTGGAGCATGAATTGCATCACAGGATTGATCCTTTCCACACTGAGGCAAGGGGGCCAGAATGCTGACATGTAAGAATAAGGTCGTCATTGGCTGTGGTGTTTCTTGGGATAGAGGTATACTCTACTGGACAATGATGACTCTCATTGGCAGAGGTCAATTTTCTAGGGAAAGGGACAACTGTGAGCTGAGAGTAGCCAACATTCCCAATTGTGATAGCGACAGGAAGCAGACAAATTCCTAGGCAGACATGGACAGATCCCTGGTGAAACCCAGCCTTCCTGCCAAGGACAGTTCAAAGCCTTAAAACCGAGCTGCCAGTTCCAGATAGAGTACATAACTGCCAGTTTCGGATAGAGTACATAACTGCCAGTTTCGGATAGAGTACATAACTTGAATCCCCTCGCTTACCCACTCTCTCTTGATTGGTTCCTTCTGGGTGATGCCTTTTAACCAATCAAATGGTGTTTTTTCCAAGACCACCTATGGACCAATCAGCATACACTCCCCCATTCTAAGCCCATAAAAACACTCGGTCTTAGCCTCCCAGAGGGCTACACACTTTGGGTTCCGTTTTGCTTTTGAGAGGTTTCCTGTCACTCAGTAAAATTCTCCTCTGCCTTGCTCACTCTCTGGTGTCTGCGTACCTCATTCCTCTTGGCCAGTGGGACAAGAATCTGGAACCCACCAAACTGTGGGAGTGAAAAGAGCTGTAACACCCTCTCTCACTCGCTGAACTACGGGAGCGGAAAAGCCTCTGGATGCCATTTCCTCCCGCTCTCCGAACTACAGGAAGAAAAAAGCCATGACAGTAGCTGGGGATGCTGACACTGTCCTGGGAAAGGGGATCTTGGCTGGGCACAAGCAGTGTTCACTACTAACTTGGAACTCACCTGGCATGTGGGCAGCATTCAATAAATAATAGACTTTGTAATTATGTTCTGAATTTTAATTTCATTCTCTATTTGAAGGAGTTTATATAGCTGGCTTTACCGATCTTGAAGAGTTGAAATAATGTTAGGTTAAAGCACTTCTTCTTTTTTTTTTTTTTTTTGCACTAATCACATGTAGTGATTTTATTTTTTATGTATTTTTATTTTTTTCCTTATTTCTTCTAAAAAAAAAAAACAGAATACTTGTGAAGAACATGCAGTTTGTTACATAGGTATACGTGTGCCATGGTGGTTTCCTGCACCTATTGACCGGTCCTCTAGGTTCCCTCAGGTTAAAGCACTTCTTAACAGAAAGCATATAAATAAAGGTAAGGAAATATTACTCAAAGCTAAAACTCAAGGTGTTTTAAGAATAATGACTAAGGCACCACTATATTATCTTACTTCCTTTTGGGAATGATAACATGACATTCTGTTCATCCCTTTGTATTGAGGTAGAAATGACTCTGATGGTTCACAGTTCATGACTCTGGGCTTCCATGTGTAGAAAGAACAACAGAAAGAGACCCCATCTATACTTATACATGATTAATGCTATTTTGTTATTATTTGTATTTAAGAATGGAGGACTGGGTAGCAGGATGGACTTCTCATATCACTGTGCCCATGTTCCCCACAATGTTTCTTCTTGAATGGGGTGCCTGGCCAGTAGTGTGGGTATGTGGGTATATCATGTGATTTGGCAGGCTTCTTTTTAGGATGAATGAACAGGGAAGTGGTAATTAAGTTGCTCCTCTTTGTTCCTTGCACCTAATATCGTTGAAGATGGCCTAATTCTGTCAGCCACTCATAATAAAACTGCAGTAATCTCAGTGGTGCATTTAAACTCTTGTGAAAGTTAAATACCCAAGTAAAAGTTGGCTTACTATGCCTATCACACACAAGTACAGAAGCAGATGGTGAGAACGGAGGGAGGCTAGTGCAGCTATTCCATGTGTAGACCTTCACTATGTTCTCTTGTGTTCTGTTCTTCCCACTGTCCATCACCTACTCTCTTTCTCAACCTGGAACCTCTCCAGGGTCTCACCCAGTAGGTTCCCTTCACTTGCATTTCCACTGCAATCTTCTCATAGTTCAGTCTGGGCTGACTTCTCCCGGCTCTCTGTTTCATCCATCAGTGTGCTCACATCTACTTTTCATTTCATGGGAATTGTGATAGTTTTCATCTTTTCATTATTACTTTTACCATTATGGATTCAAGTCATTCTTTTTATACTTCTAAATTTTATTTCAGTGGGAATATTGGAAAGATGAGAATACATATGCTTAGTTAGGAATTCTGAATCAGGAGCACATCCTAGTAACATTTAAATTTTCAAACTGGCTATATGATTTTGTCTTTCACATAAATCTAGAGGCAGAATCAAGGAATAGATCAGAAGTGCAAGGGAGAACTGATTTCAGGCTGGCACAAGTGAACAGAGTACAAAGAAAGGAGGGACTTTGTTCTGACCTTGTGAAAAGAATCCTTGTTGGCCAGATTCTCATTTCACCTGAGATTTCTCTCCTCATTTGGTTTTTTTACTTTTTAGGATGCAATGATCTCTATGCTAAAATAAGTTGGATGAAGATGGCTTCTCATTCAAGAGTTTCATCTTTTTAGGCCATAGAGTTGACCACTCCAGTTCAATACAGTCTGTCTCCCACCCACAGGGGACTGCTGCTCACCTAGCTCTGTTGAGTGTCACTGTCAGTCTTTCCCAAATCTACTATACCTCCCACAAGGTCCTCTCATGTCTTGTCTGCTGGTTGCACTTCTCCCAACTTTCTGAGTTAACACAGGTTTATTTTACTTTTCTTGTCCTGACTCTTCCCAGGATTATTTATTTGTTACATTTTCTTACACTCATCATTCCACTCAAATTTCTCCCTAGATGGGCCTCTGTTAATGTTCTTTTTAGTGTGAGATATAATTTGGCACAATATATCAGTCTATAGGAGCTTTGACAATTGAAACAGGACTCCTTTTAAACATGAAATACCTAAGTTGTTTTTTCCTAGAGTTACAAATATCAAAGTTGTTGACCTGAAACCAAGGGGCCTCTTTCACATTTTCGTTTAACAAAAAAAATCTTGCTTTATTTGTTTGCTTTGATTAATTAATTAATGACATGTGATCCATGCTGATTTTAAGTATGAGACTCTGGTCTAATTTGTTTATTCTTTTAAGAATCAAATAAAGGAATAATCTCTTTCACCCACTGTAATGCTCACATTCAGAAACACAGGGCCATATGAAGCTGAGGCTAGACTGAGGCAACTGATCACCTCCCCTCTCCTTGATGAATGATTTTACAAAATAATATAGAATGTCTCAATGGTATTCCAAAGTCTAGAATGTTGTCTTCTGTGACTAATCGCTCAGTAAAGTAAATTAGTCTTCTATTTTTACATTACTCTCATTTCTCATGTATTTAAGATTGAAACCATGTACTCTACAGAAGGTGACATCATCACCGATTTGGGAAGAAAGAAACACTTTCTGTTGGTTTTGATACCACATTTCTCAAATGAGAAGCAAACAGTTTGCTTCCTTGGATCCGTGGTTTCGCCTGTGGCCTTCAGGGGGCAATGTTGCACTTAGGAGGCATCTGTGTTCATTGCAGACCATCCTTATCCAATGAGCCTCCTCCCTGCAGCTGGCTGATGTAGCTCACTGATGTTTGTGTAGATAGGGAGCTGTGACGAGAACAAGAGGTCAGAATACATCTAGGCTCCTTAAGAGAAAGCCTTTCTTTAACCGTTTCTGAAACGCTTCAAAGGCAGAGACTTGTCCAGCCTAACCTCCCCGCTGCCCCTATCTCCTGAGGCTCAGGGCCCTTGGCTTCTGTCCGCCCTGCTCAGGGCCCTCCAGTGTTGCCACTCCTCAGCCATGGTCCTGCTGCTCGTGCCAGTGCTCGAGGTGATTTTTACCCTGGGTGAGTAACATTCCATTACCTTTCTTCCTTTTGTAAATGTGACTGTGTTGTAATTTTCTCTGAATAGAGACATCTTTTCTTCATAGCAAAGTCTGCGCTGCCTTTACTTACACAGCATTGGTGTTGCAGGAGGAACCGGAGCCCAGTCTGTGACCCAGCTTGACAGCCAGGTCTCTGTCTCTGAAGGAGCCCCTGTGCTGCTGAGGTGCAACTACTCATCGTCTTTTTCACCAAGTCTCTTCTGGTACGTGCAATACCCCAACCAAGGACTCCAATTTCTCCTGAAGTACATATCAGGGACCACGCTGGTTAAAGGCATTAATGGTTTTGAGGCTGAATTTAAGAAGAGTGAAACCTCCTTCCACCTGACGAAAGCCTCAGCCCATGTGAGCGATGCGGCTGAGTACTTCTGTGCTGTGAATGACACAGTGCCTGAGACTGCAGGGCAGCTGAACACAAACCTCCTGAGATGCTGAGACTTTCTGTGACTCGAGAACTCAACCTTGAAGTCTGTTTTATAATATTAAATAGCAATTCCAAGTTTCTGATGCTTACTGATGTATGCTGTATCTTTTTCATCTATTTATTTTTAAACTATCTATGACTTTAAAATGTGTTTCCTGTAGGTAGCATAAAAGAGCATCTTTTCTTTTTATCTACTTCGTTAATCTCTGTTTTTGCATTGTGAAGTTTAGATAATTAAAATTGAATATAAATATCAATCAGGTTGGATTTAAGTATATTTCATTATTGTGTTTCACCCATGTTCCTTTTTTTGTTTTTTTCTGACTCTTTTGGATTATTTAAATACTTTTCAATTTACATTTTAATTTATCTATGAACTTTTTGGCTATAACTCTGTACTTTTTGAGTAGTTGCTCTGGAGATGGCAATGTACATGCCTAAATATCCCGGGTCTTATGTGAGCAAATACCGTACCTCCTTATGTGAAATGTCGAAATCTTACACAATGTCCCTTTATCTACCAACACTAAAGTTTGTTATCGTTGTTCATATGTATTAGTCACATACATTGAAAACTTCACCAGGCCTGGCACAGTGGCTCATGTTTGTAATCCCAACACTTTGGGAGGCAGAGGTGGGAGGATTGCTTGAACTCAGGGGTTTGAGACCAGCCTGAGCAACAAAGTGAGACTCCATGTCTATAAAGTATAAAAGAAATTAGCCGGTTATGGTGGCACTCACTTGTAGCCTCAACTACTCGGCAAGTTGAAGCAGTATGATAACTTGAGCCCAAGAGTTCAAGGCTGCAGTTAGCTACGACAATGCCACTGTATTCCAGCCTAGGCAATAGAGCGAGATCCTTGTCTCAATTTTTTAAAAATCACAATATATAGAAAACTTTACCATACAATGTTATAATTTTTGCATTCAACAATTATATGCACTTTATAAAACTTAAGGAGAAGAGTAAAAACTATTTTATACTTAACAGCTATTTATCATTGCTGGTATCTTCCTTTGTTCCTGAAGATTTGGGTTTTCTCTGATACCAGGGGATATAACTGAAATTCCCTTCAAACTTAAAAACTCCCTTTAGTATTTTTTCTAGAGCAGATTTGCTGGGAAACATATTTTTCATTTTTGTTAATTATCTGAAAATGTATTTTTAACTTGCCCCTTATTTCTGGAAGATAGTTTTTACTGGGTCTGTAATTCTGTGTCAACACTTTCCGCCCCCCTCACTTTAAAGATGCCATTTCATTGTCTTTTGGCCTCCATGCTGTCTGAATAGAAATCCATGGTCATCAAGTACTTGTCCTCCAATGATGTAATATATTGTTTTTCTCTAGCTGCTTCATATATAAGCTGTGTACACACACACACACACACACACACACACGACAAATTATACAATCTTTTGTTGTCAGTGATATAATTATAATGTGTTTAGATGTGGTTCTCTTTGGTTTTGCCTTGTTTGGGGCTTGAATTGATAAATGCATGTCTTTCAATGAATTTGGCAAGCTTTTGGCCATTCTTTCTTCAAATATGTTTTCTGACCCAATATCTTCTCTCCCTCTAGGACTCCAGTTAGATATAATTTAGACTTTAGAATATTTTCCCACAGGTCTCCAGGGCTCTGTGTTTTTTTCTTTCAATTTTCAAATTGATGTTAAGGTTTGTCAGTGTTTCCTGACCTTGGCACTACTGATATTTTGGGCATTATAATTTTTTTTTATTGGGGTGTGGGGCTGCCCTGTGTGTTGCAGAATTTTTAACATCTCTACATTAGATGCCTATAGCACTACACACCCCAAGTTGTGACATCCAAAATTGTGTCCAGATTTGCCAAATGTCTCCTGGGGAAAGACGAAGTCAAAATTAGTTGGATTAAATAATCTACATTGATCTATTTCCAATTTTGCATATTCTTTTTTCTATCATCATTTTGCTATTGAGCCCTTACTGTAAGATTTTTATTTTTGATACTGTATTTTTCAGTTCAATTTCTATTTTTTTCTTTACTTTGTGGAACATAATCAAAAGAGCTACTTTGACATCTTTGTCTATGAGTTTTAGTATTTTAGTCATCTTGATATTTGAATTTGTTGATCTTTTACTTCATTATTAGTTCATTTTTCTGGCTCTTTGTCAAATAATTTTGACGTACATCTTGAACATTTCAAATATTATGTGTGTACACTCTGTTTTCTCCTCCTCTTCCTTCTTCTTTAAAAAACAATCATCTAAAAAATGTTAATGTTTTTGTTTGAGCAGAAAGTCAGCCTAGTTTGGTTCACACTGTTAGTTGTTTCTCCCCTTTTGTGGAATTTGGTAGCTCAAAATCACAGTTCAGTTCTCTAATCATTTGCAATGTTGGTTTGGGTTTATACCTGTCGTGTGTAGCTCAGGGATTAGTGAAACCAGTTTGCGTGGCTCAAATCTCAGGTCAGTTCCTGAACTCTCTGCTACATTGGTTTTAGTTTCTCCTGCATGGGTGCCGCTTGGGGGTAGTCTGAGACTGGAATGGTGATTGAAATATTAGTTGAATAACCTAAGATTTGCTGTTCTGGTCTGAGTCAGGTTCACGTATGTAGAGTCTTGGGATCAGCCTGAGACTTAAAACTATTTTCCATCTCTTCCCTAGGGTCTCTCTTTTCTAGCCTGACCCACAGAGGCAGAAAATTGTGTTTCTTGCAGAGTTTTGACTTCCTACATCATTACCATATTGTGGTATGCATTGGGGCCTCCCCCAGGGCAAAGTCGAGAGAAAGAAACAGAAAAAATATGGAATTCACCCTTGTGCAGGTTGCTTCTCCAATTTTTGACTTCCCTACACAATCTGCTAGCTCTTGGGTAATTTCAGAGTCCACAGTTAGTTTTTTTTTCTTTTTTTTCTTTTTTTTTGTATTTTGTTCAGTTTTTACTTGCAATCCATGGCAGAGATTGGCTGTAGGTATCTTAAAGTTATCTCCTATTCTACTATGGTCCTGCATTAATTTGTGGTTGTCCATAATATTCATCAAGAATGGCTGTTTGATGTTTTCTTTTTCCACCCTCTTTAGTTGTATTACCCTTTTTAGTTAATCTAATTCATTTTTTATATTTGCAAATTTTTCTCATCAAGATTGTAAGACGATTTAATTAAGGTCTTAATTTTTTTTTGATATTTCATTTCTTATTTTTCGAATTTAAGAAGGTCTTTGGTGCAAAAAAATTGAGAATGCATACTTGTTTTTATAAATAATTCAAATACTATATTTTTTCCTAAAGTCTAAAAATTTTTGTATTCTGAATTACATCTGGATTTAAGAGTATGTTAATGCATAGTAGGACTATTCAAATACTACGTTTTTTTTAGTACCTAAAACAGAGCTGATTAGTTTTTAATTTTCTCTTTCACTGCCTATTTTTTTCATTTCTGAGTTTTTTCTTCCTTTAAATGAACCATGCATTTTGGTATTTGGGGCTGTGTTTGGAGACCCTTAAATCTTCCAGGTAATCATGTGTTTCTTAGAATGCTGCCAACACCCTTCAGTGAGAATATTCTATTTATGATCTTATTTAACTATGAGGTGTTGCTTCTACTACTATAGGGGATTGAATAATTCCTTTACATTCTTCCAGTGCAGAGCAAAAGGCAATGTTCCGAGACATCACACAATCCTACGGCCTTTGACTTTGAACACACTGGGCTTTGCAAATGCTCAGCAACTTTGAGAAAAGTTAAAAAGACCACCATTCTGAAATTCAGAAGAAGTTGTTCCTCATAGCTTATTTTCGAATATTTTTTTTTCTGCTCTGCTTTAATCTTCAATATAATCCCACCTACTTTCTGTCTCCTAGAAATATGTGTCACCAGATGACCTTCACCAGATGACATTCATTTTTTTCTACTCTTGTGAATTTTAGTCTATTTCCATTTTATTTCTATTCTCTAGGAAGAAATATTCAAGAGAAGGGAAATGAGCATATGGCATTAAGAATTAGAAGTTTATACTCAAAGGCTACACTTTTACAAAATGATAGCATTACTTAATTTTCTTCATTCAAGACAATCTTTTCCGACAGGAACAAGTGAATCAAGAACCCAAGGAGAGAACTGGGCTTATACTTTCAAATCAAAGGAAAGAAGTATTCTGACTTTGTCAAGGGTCCCATTAACCACAAAAAAAGCAGTGACTTTCTCCATTCTCATGTTTTCAGAGTTTTATTTTTGTTCCCATCTACATTTATTATTATTTGTTTTTATTTTTAAATTTCAACTTTTATTTCTCGCTTGTTGTGGTTGTATTTCCTTCAGCTCCAGAGGCTTCTGTAGTGTTATTTTCTTTACCCCTAGAGGCAAAGCCTTCCCATCATGAGTTATGCCTTGTCATTAGTTGCATGGAGGCACTACTCTCCTTATGTGAAATCTTTTCCTCTATGGCTGCATACGCACCATCCGAGGGAAATGTCTCTACCATCCTCCATCACCACTGTGGCAACACTGAACCATCCAAAACTCAGTCCAGGGCAATTGGTCTGAGCCCAGACTCTCATGGACTCATATCTAAATTCTGATATACTTTCAATAACGATTCCTCTGTGAGGTGATGTATTACTCCATTTTTACGTGAAATCTTATTGCTAATGGACTCTAGCACTAAAACACCATCATAGATTTGGTCAGGAAGAAACATGTCCTGTGAAAGTTTTGATACATCTCAGAAAACAGGAAGAACACACTAATGAGCGGTCTCTGCTAAACTCCCGTTCTGCACTTGGCCTCCAGAGGGCGAGGCTGCACAAATTGGAGCTTTTGTTTGTGTTGAAGATCAATTCACTGCTCAGTTTCTTCTTCCTGCAGCTGGTTGAGTTCTTTCTAGACAGAGACAAGTGACAAGAATCAGAGGTTTAAAAGCAACCACATTCATCTCTGCAGGTTTTGTAGTTTTATATAAGCAAGGAGCTCGTCCAGCAAACCTTCCGCACACTTCTTGTTCTTGGTCTCTTCAGCCACTTTCCTTCTTGTTCTCTGGAGATCTTGCAGAAAAGAGCCTGTAGTGTTTCCCTTGCTCAGCCATGCTCCTGGTGTTCATCCCACTGCTGGGGATACATTTTGTCCTGAGTGAGTAAAATTTCTTTATGGTCTTTAGTTTCACAGGTTCTGACTAGAAATGCTTACTTTTTATACTGAGTCTGCACTGCTTTCACTGATAGCACATTGTTTTTCCAGGAACTGCCAGAGCCCAGTCAGTGACCCAGCCTGATATCCATATCACTGTCTCTGAAGGAGCCTCACTGGAGTTGAGATGTAACTATTCCTATGGGGCAACACCTTCTCTCTTCTGGTATGTCCAGTCCCCTGGCCAAGGCCTCCAGCTGCTCCTGAAGTACTTTTCAGGAGACACTCTGGTTCAAGGCATTAAAGGCTTTGAGGCTGAATTTAAGAGGAGTCAATATTCCTTCAACCTGAGGAAACACTCTGTGCATTGGAGTGATGCTGCTGAGTACTTCTGTGCTGTGGGTGCCACAGTGCCTGGGTCTGCAGGGGGAGCTGAACACAAACTGCCTATGCCAGAGAAGTTTTCAGAGACTCAGTGCATCTTCCTGTGGCATTTTCAAAGATCTCTTGCTTTTATGATGGTGAGTGAGGCAAAGAGAGCTGAGCACATCCAGGCATTTCTATATAATTCTGCAATTCCTGCTGTGTCCCATGTCAGGTAAACTTTGTTTTAGAAGCTTTTTGTTAATTGAAGAAACTGCGTAATAGGAAATAGTATTCTAGAATGATGGAGGAGACATACTTCTTACCACATAACAATCAGGTTCTCAAGGACCTTTCCTTGACCGTGACTGCATTAAGTGGTTGACTATGGGAATGTTGATATGGTCTAGGATAACCTTGGTTTTCATTTATCATTTAATCTCTCAAGTAACCCAGAAAACGAAAGATAAGCTTCTCATGTTCTTACCTTGCAAGTTTGCATTCTTGAGCTGGTCATTCATAGGATATTTTCTTAGAATTTATTTTTTCTGGCTCTAACTGTGCTATTCAGGTTTCAGGATATCTTGTCTCAGTAACTCTATTTAGGAAGAATTATGAGAAATTATTAGCCAATGATGAAAGTTTCATTACAATCATGAAGGACTCAGAAAATTGTCACAGCGATGTGAGTTCTGGCAACTAGGAATAGTGCACAAGGAGAATGAAGATTTAGAATTTGTCAGTGTTTCCCCAAAGACTTTTTCACAGTTATAAAAATAGCTTCTATTCTATTGATATATTAATTATGCAAATCTACATTGTAAGTTTTTCTATGAAATTCCGTTCATCTCTTCTAGCTACTGACACTTTTACTTGTTGCTTTCGCTCTGTTGTTATATGGTTTCACTATTGAAATATTAAAGATTGATTCTTTTTTTGAGATAGGGTTTTACTCTTTCACCTAGGCTAGAGTGCAGTGGCATGATCATAGCTCACTGCAGCCTTGACCCACACCCCCAGCCTCAAGCAATTCTCCCACCTCAGTCAGCTTCCTGAGTAGCTGAGACTACAGGTGCGCACCACCATGCCTGGCTGATTTTTTTTTTTAATTTTATTTTTAGTGGAGAAAAGGTCTCACTATGTTGCCCAGGCTGATTTCAAACTCCTGAGCTCAAGCAATCCTCCAACCTCGGCCCCCCAAAGTACTAGTATTATAGGTATGAGCCACTGAGCCTGGCCAAAGATTGATTCTTTTATAGTAACATTTTGATAATCTGTCATGTGGTAAGTTTTGCGATGCCAAGCCCTGTTAGAAATACTGATAAGAGTTACAATGGTACTGGATTCCAGGCAGCTGCTGGAAGGTATAAATGTGTGACTTTCTTATGTCTAGAGTGGAAAGAACTGTATAAGAAACTTTTATACTCCTTGTCTGCTTGCTGCCTCGGAGGATAACCAGTGCTTCGGAGGAAAAGGAGAAGGAGGAGGAGAGAGCTCTTTAGCTGCCATTTAGCTCACACTATAATGTCTACGAGGGTAGGTGCATGGGGACCCTGAAAATATAGATCAAATTAGTAAATTGTGGGCAATGGCACTCCTTAGCCAAATGATGAACCAAGATGTCAACAGTATGTTTTAGGGCGTGGTGATATGACTACATGTGGTAAATATGTTTAAGTGATTTCTGGAATGCTGTGAGGAAGGTGAATGATGTGTCAGATATATAAAATTATGAAAAAGAAATGTATGCTCATTTAATGTTCCTGCCTCAGTCCCTTCCTTCTTTCCTGGTTTTGGACCACACTCTCATCTACTACTGATAAGACAAATAATTTCAAGTGACTCATTGTCGTCAGCTCAGTCACACTGCCCAAAAGGACTCATCATAGTATCATGAGCACTTTATGCAGATCGATTTGAGAAAAAACTGCCCATTTCTTTTGATTCTGATCTCAAACTGAATATTAAAGAAAAATAAATTTCATACCAAGGACCCTAAGCAGCTGGGAGGGCATTCCCCATCTCCCCTACCTCACTTCTGCCTGAAAAATCAAAGTAGTCTTGCTTCCTTCTACTAATAATTTGTTGCTTTTATATAAGTACATGATTTGTAGGAGAAACTTTCCAAAATAAGGAATTATATTAAGAAAGTGGAAATTCTGAGTTATTTTATCAATGATATCAATCATTCCGACTGTTCAGAAAGGATTCTGAATTTTCTTGTAATTAACTGATCTTACTACATATTCCATCACCCAGAAACAGGTACCCTAATCAAAAGGCGGAATATTTTACTGAAGATCAAGCTAGAGCCCTGAATGGGAGACAACAGCACATATGCTAAACATTTTCTTCTCTCCCTATATCGTGTTTTTATCTTATGTACAAGCTATTGGAAATAAACTTATAATTTAGTGTAAAGGTAACAGAATTTTCAGGCTGAGTGAAGTGGCTCACACCTGTAGTTTCAGCACTGTGGGAGGCTTAGGCAGGAGGATCACTTGAGGCAAGGATTTCAAGACCAACCTGGGCAACATAGCAAGACAACATCTCTACAAACAATTAAAAAAATTAGCCAGGCATGGTGGTGCCCACCTGTAGTCCTAGCTACTCAGGAGGATTGCATGGGCCCAGAAGTTCAAAGTTACACTGAGCTGTGATCATGACACCGTTCTCTAGCCTGGATGACAGAACAAGATCCTGCTTTTAAAAAAAATTTAGGAAGGACTGTCCCTGAATTTGAAGAACTATTAATGTAATCAGTGATAAAGTCAATGACTTTTGGGGTTGTGCATCTCTTCATTTTGGAGAAAGAATGAAAAGTTCTTCAGTTGCAAGACGGATTTCTATATCTCGAAGGAGATAGAAGTATAGAATTACTTTGTTGTTGTACATGTTTCAAATGTGTGTAGAAGAATGTGTGTGTTGCATAGAGAAGCTTGAAGTAGTTGAAGGAATCAATTTCTTGACTCTGAGCTCTAAATTCACCCTTGCTTCTTCTGTGGAGGTGGATCTGGAACCTTCGACCATTTTCCTTTGCCAGTTGACACAACGTTAAGCTTTGTAGTAGAGAGTCAGGAAGAAAAGGTTTTGCTTTCTGCTTTCCGTGTGCTCACTCATCAGGATCCTGCACCATGGGAGTCTTCTCCAGTGTCCAGTTCATGCAGAGCACTTGCACCAGTTTCCTGCAGTGCACAGTGCCCAGGAGTTTCCTTCAGAACCCCCCTGTTTTGGGGTGATTCTGTGGAAGAGAGCCTGCAGTGAGACATCTCCCCGTGAACAGCTTTCCCCAGTGTCCTTGAGGATGATTTTCTGCCATGTTCTAGAGGGTGGATTTCTAGCAAGTTCTGCTGGTACAGCACCACAGCGACTTCCCTTTCATCCAGTGAGCCACAGCTGTGTCTTTTCAATAACATCTGGGTCTCAGCCCTGAGGGTGAGGCTAGAGGCCTCTTCCCTGGTTATCCTACCCTGCCCTAGGAGTAGAGGCTGCACCTTATGTCTGCTATTCCTACAGGAATAGGAATAGCAGAGTTTTCTGTTCTTCATATTATTCATTCTCTTGTTACTCTAACACTCTGTTTATTAATCCTTAAAATTTTTCTGTTGAAATTGTATGGTTTCTCTTTCCTGATTGTACTAGACTGAGACATGCACCAAGGACTTCAAGCAAGTGGAAAGCATCCTCCATCTCCCCTCCCACTCCTGCCTGAGATATCAAAGTAGTTTTCTTGTTTTATTTCTCTATTGATTTATTGTTTTACTTACTTATTGTTTTATTTACATTATTGTTATATAATTATGAGAAAACTTTACAATAATTTTATTAAGAATTTGGAAATATTGTTACTATATTAATAAAATTAATTTTACTATTAACGTTTTGTGCACATTATACACAGAATATTATTATACCATTGGCGCAAATTGAAAGCAATTTTAAAAGGTTTTAGCATACCACACAAACAGGCATTCATTCACCTATGAGGATGTGTCTGGAGATTATAATTCTAAGTCATTTTTCTTGCATGTAACTCTCTTAATACATCATTATTTTTTGATTTTCTATTTCCTTCAGATGGAGGGAGAAGACAATGATAATTGCAAAACCATCTGTAGACAGAATATTTCTGTCACCCTAGAAAGTTTTATGTGTGCCTTTCTAGTCAACTCACCTTCTGGAGACAATAGATGTTCTTATTTCTATCACCTTAGATTTACTTTACCCATTATAGCCTTCAAATCAGTGGAATCATACATACTCTTTTGTGCCTGGTTTCTTTCATTCATCGCGTTTTTTAGATTCCCCCATGTTCTCATGTGTATCAGTCTTTCATTATTGCTATTGCTGAGTAGTATCTTATTATATGGATAAAGCACAATTTGTTTATCCATTCAGCTGTGCACACCACTGACTGGACATAGAATCTTTTAGGGATTAAATCTTTGGTATCATTCTTAAGAGTGCAAGGTACAGTTGTTCTAGATGTTTATATCCTGTATTTCAAGGGTAGGGTGTGCCTCTAAAATGCTTTAGTTGAAACATGTATCTTAAATACCTTTATTTAAAAACCATTTTCTATCATTCATTATGCTACCTAATATGTCACTAGTTTTTGCAAATAAAAACCCAACATCTAATATTGCCTATGCTATTTAGCAAAGCTTTGGGTATTATTCAAGCTGTGGGTAGCTGAACTGTAGTTTCCTCTGTTGTGGCCTTATGTGTTATGTTAATAACAACAGTGGGTGGCCACCCTGGAGTTTGCTTTCTTGACTAAGTCAATTGACTCTCCTTAGAGTTGAGACTTAACTAGTACATACCCAATATCCTCTGGCTTTTGTCGAAAAGATTTAATGTAAATTATACATCCTAACACTGTGATATTTTTATTCTTACTTGGTAACTGATAGTCAGATATTATGAACAAAATTTAGGTCATTGTTCCTGCAGGTCCTAAAGATCTGTAAGTCATGTAATTATAATCCTTGCTCAACAGTCAAATTGTTTTTTGTGATATGTCTTATATAATGGGACAATAAAATTGACCTTTATATTAATATTCTAAGGCTGGCATAACAAAATACCACAGACTAGGTGACCTAAACAACATAATTTATTATCTCAGAGTTCCACAGGCTAGAAGCTCAAGATCAAGTTGTCAGCAGGGTCAATGTCTTCTGAAGTTTGCAGATCATGTTGCCTTTTCACTGTGTCCTTACAGGGTCTTGCCCTTGAGGGTACGCATGTCTGTGTCCAAATTTCCTTTTCTCATAAGAACAGCAGTCATACTGAATTAGAGTCCACCTATGTGACATCATTTTACCTTAATTATTTCTTTAAAGACCCTATTTTCAAGCACCGTTACATTCTGAGGTACTGGGGGTAAGGGCTTCAATATGTAAATTTTGAGTCGGATAGAACTCAGTCCATAACAACTCTCCAAGTAAATATTACATTCGCAAACAAAACAGTTGAAACCTTCATGCACTGCTTTACTAATTTCTCCTGCACACAATGATCATGTATAATTTTGATGATGAGATTTTCCTGTATTGAGTTTCTTTCTAGAGGAATGAGAAATGTGCAATTACAAATACAGATAGCTTATAAAATATTCTAAACTGCAAAAAACCAGTGATAAAAATTGAAAGCTCTTTTTCAGAGGTGGCTTCTTTTTCCTTTGTTCCATTGGGGTGCGGAATTCTCTCACGTTTAGATTTGTTCTTTCCTGAAGATAAATCTTAATTTCTGCTTGGTATTTTATCTCTAACAGTTTTCCTTTCTTTCCCCATTCTGTTTTCTGTCTGAATGTTATTTTTTTTTTTTTACCTCTGTCTTATTGTTTCTCTAATATTAGAGTCTACCTGTGCAGAAGCCAATTTAGCTAACTTGCTATTTTTCTCTTGCACTCCTCCTTCACCACCTCATCAGCAGAACTGACATAAAAGAAAAAGAATTGAAATTCTTTTGAAGTTGTTTAGGACAAGTGCAGTGGGTTAAGTGGATGAGGAAGGTGGCCAAAGTCCTTAAACACAGGAGCAGCAGGAAGAATCCCATCCTATATGCTCAGCTTTCTTGAGGATTGTTTTCTGTTTTTTTCAAGTAGTATGTATCAATATTTTGATATTTTGTAGTTAAATATGTATCAAGTTAAATATTTTTCAAGTAGTATGTATCAATATTTTGATTCAATCAGATAATCTTTTTAAAACAATATATGTTTTCATTGCTGACATGCTTGGATTCATTTTAAATTTATTTGTTTTATGCAGCGTTCTCTTGATTTTTTCTTGTTTCTTTTTAGCCTGTCTTCTCTTGCATTGATAGTTTGATTTTTCTTCATACTGCTTTGAAAATGTAATGTGTATTTCTGTTACGATAAGTACCCCTGTTATACAAATATATGTATAGAAATATGCATATAAATGTATGTATATATGTGTACGCATATATAAATCTAATTTTTATGCCCAATGTTATTCTTTTTTTTTCCTCAGTGTTATTCCGTAACGTTTTTTCCTTGTATGTCCCAGTCCTTCTCCTTTACCTCCTGCTGACTTATGATTTTTAGAATTACCTTCGTGGCTGATTGGAAGAAACTACACATAGCTATATACATCAGGACAATAATTTCAGCAAGATATTATGAAATGAACAATAAACTGTAGCTCCAATGTACATTAAGAAAAGTAATAGAAAAGAAAACCATCCGACACAATAATTGCAATATGAATTTGCTCCCTTCCTCCTCAGAGCCATTGTCCCTGATCTTCCCTCTGCCTGGAGTGTTTTTCACCATTGGCCACATAGATGCCTTCACTGGCTCATAGTCTTTGCTCCTGGAGAAACATGGGAACATGTGAATAAAGTAGAATGCTCAAAAAATTTATTGCAGCATTGTATTTCATAGTTAAAAAAAACCGTTGTATTAGTCCATTCTCACACTGTTGTAAAAAATGCTGAGACATGATAATTTATAAAGAAAAGAGATTTAAGTGGCTCACAGGTTCCACAGACTGTACAGGAAGCACAGTGGCATCTGCTTCTGGGGAGGTCTCAGGGAGCTTTTACTCAAGGTGGAAGGTAAAGACGGAGAGGCCGTCTTACATGGCAAAAGCAGAACCCAGAGAGAAAGGAAGGTACTACACACTTTTAAACAAACAGATCTCAGGAGCACTCTGGACAGTAGCAAGGGGGAAATCCACCCCCATGACGCAGTCACCTCCTACCACGCCTGACCTCCAGCATTGGGTGTGGAATCCTGATTAGGGAAAAGGAGTCAGGCTGGCAGAACCAGGGGAAAGCAAAGGGATAAAGCAAATAAGCTATAGGTCTGCCTTTTTTTCATGGTCCAGAACATATAAACAGAAAGAGGAAGCATATAAGTTATAGGTATTTCTTTATGGCTTGGAACCTATAGCTCTCCTGAGCAAATAACATGCATAACTCACAGACTTCCTGCTTATCATCAAACACCTCTATCTATCATCCAAAACCTCAGTTGACAGAAGAATGC